TAAAAGTAAGCTGCATCTTGTTTTATGCAAAATGTATAATTTATTAATGATATCGACAATTGCACTCAAGTTTAATCTGTATTTAATTAAACCAATACAAAAGTCGCGTGTAAAATAATCATATTTAAATCAATGCCGTACACTGTACATGTACCTATATAAAAATTATTATGAATGAACGGCAAATAAGCATTATGCTTACTAGCCTTTTCTTAGTGTAGGAGTTAATAAATTTATTCAAAATTATTTTTAATGTAATTTCGAATAAAAATAAATATTGAGAGACATGTTTCAATTTTTTACTAAAACTATACTAAGTTACCAATTAAAGAGAAACTTTATCATGTTCCTTTTTTGGTTAATTTCATGGACTTTGATTTTCGTCAATTATTTAATATTTTGTTGAAATTGTTTTTCAACGTAATAGGTGAAACAACGATCAAGAAAATTGTGTATGTATCTGCTAATCTTTAGAGACCAGGGGCCCGTTGTACAAAAGGACTTACGACTTAAGACCAAATTTAATTCTTCATTTTAACGTTTTAATTAACATTATATCGATAATTATATCAAACTTCTTAAAAGGAATGTGTTTAAGATAATTTTACACAAAGAATTTCAAAGAGAATTATTTATCTTGCAAAATTTTACAATCATCTGAAGTTTTTGGTCTTAGTCGTAGGTTCTTTTGTAAAAAGGGCCCCAGGTTCGAGATGAATCTGATCTATAGAAGTTTCTTCAAAATGAAAGCGAAGTTATATAGAAAAGAAGACACCGATCTAATAGAGTGTCGTAATCTGACGACACATTAGGCCTCCTCTGTCGAACAATTTATACGGAAAATACCAGAAAATTGAGCAGTAGTATAATAAAAAGAGAACTCGATTTACGTTGCAATTTCTTTTACTCTATTCATATTCTTCTTTACTTATTGACATTTCAAATAGATTTAAAATATGAAAAGAAACATCTTCGTCAAGAGGTTTACAAAAGCAATTCTAAGTATCAAGGAATGGGTGGTGGAGTAGAGGTCAGGCATTGCTTCATGTTCAACCTTTAGGTAAGTGATAAAAATCTTGCTAAAATTGTTTAAAAATTAAATGAGTTTTTTTTTTATATCTTTTTCTTATCATTGCTACAGAATGGTATTCTTTACTCATTCTTTATTTGTAAAGCAAGTGTTTTAATCAATTCTCCGTCTTTTTATAGGACCTTCTGAACGGATTATTGGAATATTACTGGAACGCACCTAAAACTTTGAACAGAAATTGGAACCGATACAAAGGAATTGCATATTTAATTAGAAAGTAAAAATATCTTTATTTTGGAAATTTCAAAACCATTTTCATATGGTTTATATCACATTGCCTATATAGGAAGTATTTCGTAGTAAATCGTGTATCAATATCATATTTTAGGGTTTCAGCAATTAAGTACAAGGTGGGGGGGGGGGGGGGGGGCTTTTTCCAAGGCCAACTTCCTTTCACTTCAAATTTTTTTTACATACAATATTACATTTCCTTCATTTAACTTTACTGTGGTAAGAAGTGGGGGGGGGGGGGGGGCAACCAACCTTTCAGTGGTCATTTTCAATGGAAAAGGTATTGTTGGGAAAAAAAGTGGGGGGGGGGGCAGGCCCCACTATTGCTACGTCCCTGTGTAGAGGCTGAGCCTTACTTTATTATATGTCATGTATTTGTATATGCGATAGATATCGATGATTATACATCCTAATGGTCATTTTTAAGGTCTTCCGTTTCCAACGGATGACCTTCTACTGTTGGTAAAGATTATTATTCTTTTTTTTTCTTCTACTTCCTAGACGCCAACTTTAAAGCCTCATATCTCACTCATTTCTCAATTGATTTCGCTCAAATTTTCAGAGGTACTAGAAGTTACTAAACTCTATCAGAATGCTGTCTAAAATTTCAAAAAGTCACTTCCGGTTTTGAGTTATTTCCCTTTAAACAAAAATTTATAGGCTTTCGTTTCCAGACAAAGGCTCAGGGACGGCTAGAGCTGGAGCAGAAATTCTACTGATTTTAGATAATAGAAGGATTGAAGTTGTGCACATCGGTTATTGTTTTTCAATTTCTCTATTCAAAATGGCGCTATATAGGGGTAAAAAATTAGAACGCTTAAACGAGCCAAAAATTACTCATATTTTGCTTTTTATCTTCTAAACTAAAAATATTTTGTTAAAATATATAGAAAATAATTTGTGCAGAATTAGAAAATCTTTCAAATGATATCACGGAAAAGGAGCTGACCTCTAAATTTAGGGATGTAGATGGGCCAAAAGTTTTTTTTCCAGATATCTCAAAAATTATTGAGAATTTGTTATACATCAAAGAAGCAAAGTTGTTGAAAATCTCTGTTAAAATCTACTGATGTCATCAAAATACGTCCTGTGACGTCACTTCCGGCCAAACCGGAGGTAGTTCGAAACTGCATATTTTTGCCGTTTTTGACATGTTTTGGGGAAATATTTGTCACTGGAAGCATAAAACTTAATTTTCTGTCTGTCGACGTCACTTCCAGTCAAACAGGAAGTAGCAAAAATGGCTTTCTTTTGCAATTTTCAACAAAGATTTGGAAGATTTAAATCATTAGAGTCGTCATTTCTCTCTTTCTTTTTTTTAATAAAAGTTACTTCCGGTCAAACAGGACGGAAGACCTACTCGTTGCTTTGCTACGAGCTTTGCTCTAGTTTCTTTCAGAAATTGTGTCAGAAAGGTTTGAAGTGTCTATGGGAATGATCAACATCGAACTTGCTGAGCCTTCCTACTTAAAGTGAATCCGTTCGTGACATGACCAGTTATTTGGCTACCCTATAACATATCGCCATCTTTTATTTATTTGTTATTGTGAATTTCATGGGATATCAGTGAGGAAGTGATTCAAGCAGACACTTGAGAAGTTTCGGATCTTCCTTAATTAGGATCTTTGGCATATTTGGGGAAAATAGCATGCATTGATTTTATGGGATCTTTTTATTGATATAGTTGTGCAGTACATATTTTAAACTTAATACATGTGTTTGTCACTCTAGTCTAGTCATTAACTTTGTACGGTAAATGTACATGGGCAACTGGGAGTTCATTGTAACTGTATACCCCGTTGAGGTTTCAATAATCTCTCCCAATGTCATTAAGTCAAATGCCATATTTTAAAAAAAAGAAATAGTTTATTTTATTACAAAGAAATGTCGATCAGTGAAAATACTTTGAAAAAATGTGCTTACATTGTACATGTACATCTATTAGTGTACTGGTATATGTAATATTTGTCTCAAAACACATTGTAAAAGAAACGATTTTTTTTACTTTGAAAATATAGATTTGATCTATGAAAAAGTGTGATGATATCATTATTTCAATGTATCTTCCTGGAATTTCTTAGATTTCCATGGAATTCGATAGATTTCCAAATATCCTTGTGCCAATTGGGCCAACATAAGAATTATCATTGTTTGACATTGGGCCAACGTAACGCCTACATGTCGATGCAACGTTGCGTCGATGAGCAAATTTACATTGGCCCAATAAAATTTTCAGACATTGGGCCAACATGATTGACAACAGTGGTCCAACGTTGGACCAACGTCAGAATTATCGTTGTATGACATTGGGCCAACGTTGCGCCAACATGTCGGTGCAACGTTGCGCCGATGAGAAAAATAACATTGGCCCAATGTAATTTTCCGACATTGGGCCAACGTAACTGACAACAGTGGCCCACCATTGGGCCAATGTAATCTTGATTTCTGGGGTTGAACTTTTCACTTTTTTCATTAAGGCATATTTTCTAATTATAGACATCACGTGGTGACGTCGTGGTGTAATGCTTCCTGTAGTATAAGTCCCATTAAAGTCTATAAAATGCATAATGATAGCAAAAGTTTTATCTATGACTTTTCCGATTTATTAGAGTTACATATTATTAAAAGAAAGTGTTAATTTGCCGAATTCTGATCCATGTGCTGCCTTGACAAACCCGCGTAATTTATATTGATTTTTTTAATTAAAAATTTCACAAGTTTCAATATATTTTTCCCATGGCGTTTTCATACCTAGCACAACGAATTTTGTCTAAACATATCGTATTTTTAAGCTCACAGAATAACCATAAAAACTTAATTTTATCAATTGACATCTTTTTTAGAGAAAATTAATTTATAAAAAATAAATAAAACTCATTTTTTCTAAAGTACATCTATAGAGAAAAATCAAGGAAGACTCTTTTTGTATAGAAAAGGCATCAATGAATTAGATAACATAATAAAAATGAATTAAAGTTAAATGCACTGATGTAGAAAACATATTTTCAAAATGTTTGGTATCAAAGTTCCTTTTTGGAGTTATCTTACCTGTTGCCCGGGATTCAAAAACTTTGGCAAGTCTCCGCATACGTATGACTATGATAGCTACTCATTATTGGCTTCTGAACTGGACAAATATAAAAGAAGAAAACTAGAGACGCACACTATTTTATCAATATTTATAAACACAGAGTGAGATAATATATTATTGAAACACACAAATTTGTGCGTAAAAATATCAACTTTCAATACAGACTCTGTTGACGATCATATGACAATGGGTTGATTAGTCTGAAAGTATAAATTTATTACAAAAAAGTTCTCGTCATACTGACATCCTTTGTTCACGAATTATTATGTAACATAAACCCAGACCTTTGTTGTTCTTTTATAAGACAAAAACGGACATCTTTTTCCATCGGTCACTCCGTGTTCATGTCATGTGTTCCTTGTTTATGATTAGGGTGTCGCTCTCAGTTTAGTGCATATTATTACTTTAAAAAACCTGTATCTCTAAAACGTTTGAAAGACTCTCTTACAGGCGGTCCCTCGGCAAATCGTGAGTGGACAAACTACATAAAACCGGAAGTAAAAGTATTTTTCTCTGCATACATCACAAGTCACATGATGTGGAGGACCCTTAAAGACCACGCACGGAAACGCTTATGCTATTAATTAATATTATCAGAGAAAACCTTATATTTCAATTGATGCTCGTGAATGATGCTCTCAGGGTCTAAGCTTTTTATTCTATGGACCTACTACTGTGCTACTTTACTGTCAGTAAATCTAAAAGAACGTAAGTCTTTACTCTTTGCTAAGTTTTAATAGCAATTAATATAAAGCCTAAGTATACTAAACACACATTTTGTAGATGTATCAAAAAGTATTTCAAAGGATATGAACTGAGATTTTGTTTTGTTCGTTAGTTGTCAAACCTCCCTCTCAAGAATTTTCACTCGTATGGAGACGCTACTAGCTGAAGGTAGAAAGCTGCCATTCTTAACATTTACTCGGCACTTACGAGCATTGATCAGTGAGGGATCTTTTCCGTGTCAGCACCTACTGCGACACAAGACCTTGCTTTTATACGGTCTTTTCCGAAGGACCGATCTCCACGTCCCATTATTGGATTCGAACCCGCGACGTAAGAATCAACCCCTTACTTCACTACTCTAGAGCAGACTCCCTAACCATTGCGCCACACGGGCGACTAAAATAATATTAAGATTATTCTAAATGCAAATAATTTTGTAAAGTACATGAATCATGAATAGATAATTTTGTTTGAAAGGATATAAAGATATTAAGATTAATTTACATGCGAATATATGTATACTTTGGGGATTGTTTACAAGTTAAGTGTCAAAGATGTGAAGCACAGCAGTCTTCCACAAATGGACTACATTCTGCAAATAACGCTTGTGATGACGACATAGAGACATACTCTCTCACCATGGAAGGCAAAAACCAGACGTGGTCAATGACTCTTGATAGGGTACATCGAATCTACTGGATTTTCCTCAGCATTAGTTGTGGTATTGTGAAATATCATGAGCCTATGAAATATTACGTCGTAACAACTTAAACATTTGATTGTTGGCATGTTTCATATAAATCACCATATTCATCGCCAATGCAAGAAATTCACTGGTGTTATCTTTTTCCTTAAAGGAAGATATCATATCCACATACAACTGGACACATCTGAAATTCGAACTTGTAAACAGATTGAAAGAATATGCAATGTAACCAATCAAGCTAAAATTGTAACATGCCACCCATCTGAAGTTGTGTTTGGAAACAAAATCATCATCAGGAAAGAAGAATATGGTGCTTTACAGATTAACGAAGTTAAAGTAATTGGTATGAATTATTCGATCACTCGATGTTTGTCTTTAATACATTTACAAAGAAGAATGTGTATCATTAAGAAATCTAAGTTCTTCAATTTTTTTTATCCCTTTCCAAAGGGGACATTCCATCCTCAAATAATACTACGGATTTTATATTCATTTCTTTTCGTGGCTAGATTTTACAGCCTTAAACGAAACTCAAGTAAAAACCCAGTCTGTTGGACTCAAAGGGGAGAATGCTTTTGATGGCAATGTAGATTCTTATATTGTAACAAAGGAAACAAGTAATGCAACATGGTTTATGATAATGGAAAATACGTACGGTATAAAATGGATACTCATTTCATTGAGAGGAGGTATTGTATAAAATTGTTTCATTTAGATTAAAATTTAAGAAATCTATAGATGGAATTACTTGGATTTTCATTATTAATTCCTCATTTTGTATTTATTTAGGAAATTATGAATTGCATATAAGAGCTGAAAATCAGGTCCTTTCCAATGAATTGACACTTTGCCGCAGGTTTAATTTTCGTAACCCTTCTACAAAATATCAGTATATCGTAGAATGTGAAAGGGAAATGACAGGGAACTCAATCGTAATAACAAGGATGGATGAAGGACCAGTTAGACTATTTGAAGTACATCCAATAGGTAAATCGTCTTAAATTTAGCAGTTAAGGAGAAAATACTTTTTAAACTTTTATTCAAAAACTTTATATACACTTTTATTCGTAGTTTGTTTCAAACTTTCTTATTTACAATCAGATGTAACAATGATATGGAAAATGGTCAGCAATAGATTTCAAAATAGATATTCGATACTGCATGTCAACTACATTATATATTTCATGCTGTTAATAGTGATGAAATTTTTCGTAGTTTGTCCTGCTTACCATTATGGAATAAATTGTGCTAAATGCAGAAAGGCATGTGTTTCCTGTCATCCTATATCAGGTGTATGTAATGAATGCTTTGGATCTTTCTTTGGTGATTATTGTCAACATAGATGTCAGACAACGTGTCTCGAAACTTGTGACAAATTGACCGGAAGTTGTGATAACTGTACCGATGGACGTCAAGGAAAATACTGTGAACTTGAAATGTCTACAGATTGTAGGTTGCAGTTTAAAAACACCATATTAAATTAAATTATTTTTTTTAAATCTTACTTTGCTATCTTTTTGAATTGCAAACTTTTTAAAAAGCAGTTATAGTACATATTTCTTAGATTTCTTCATTTTTGCATGTAGTAATTTTTATTCAAATATGCTATTGATGGACATGTTAGAAATATTTCAACATTCAATGGCTTTATTAGCAAATACAAATGTACATGTATAATCTCTTGTTAAATAGAATGTTGACTGACGATTTCATGCAAAGCGATTGGTCTTTTTTTAAACATGAGCCCATCTCTCACGTTTTTTGGCTACGTCAATGTTTGCTCCGCTCGCGTTTTGTATTATTCTATAGAATTTTATACATAATTACAGTTCCTTTTTCAAATTCCGTTGCATTTAGTCTTCTTAGTGAAATATATTGAGATAACAAATAGTCTCTAAACCCAAAAGTCCATTAATCGATGGAATCTTTGGATCAGAGCAAACACGGACCTCTTAAATATCAGAGGTGGGAGCAAGTGCAGGGGGGGGGGGGAGTGAGCATCCACTTGCGACCGGCCATCCGCCGTGTGTCCACTTGTCAATTTCGGGAAAAACGAAAAAGATCCGTTCAAAATTTAATGTATGAGTAATGGTCTAACAATAAGTATAAAAACATCAGCATTTGACTAAATGAAAGATTGTATTTGCTGAAAAGGTCATTTATCGACCACAGAACTTACGAAAAAGAGACTATTTCAATTAAAAAGTTAGATATGCATTTTTGCAGACAGAAGATTTGAAGCGGTAAGCAGATCAAATTTCGAGCAGAACAAGTCTAGTACTGGTGAGATAGATATCCTTAAAGGTATTCCCTTCGTTTCAATAATATTCTATGATAATTGCATGTAGTTGACTCAACTACATACAATATTTATTATATTATACTGAATGTTTATACAAATACATATAACAGAGAACCGTGCGCGCATAAATTCTGCGCAGTTGCTATTTTTTGAAATATCACCTGTCGTCAAGCAATGTTGAATGTTGCTACGCAGGACGGCGTGACATTGTTATTCAGCGGGTAATAGTGTTTTTTTTTAATGTTTCGAGACGAATCAGATTCAAGTTATTTACTTGAAAGTATAATATTAGATAATACAAGATTAAAACTTCGGTCATATCGAAGATAAAGTGAGTTTTTGTAGCATAACTAAATCACTCCTCTTATCAAATTCAAATGTTTGATACCATTATATATTAATATTTGGGGTACAGAGGTCATTTTTTTTCTCTTTTGTATTATTTCTCTACAAAAGTCATGAATGCCGCTCAATGATTTATTAAGATGATCTCCTATTTCGAGGAACTTATCCTTGCAGAAATTAAACTTGTCCTTAAAGTTTAAACACTAGTTAATACATGTACAATGTACACATCTGTACATTACATGTTCAAAATCAATTTTTTGGGATGCTTGAATTGCCTTTAATTGCCTTTTTCTAATAAACACATGTGCGTTTAAGGAACAAATTTTTTAAAGACAGAGATGATAAAGAAGATCCCAATCAATTCCCAATCCTCCTGGTTGTTCTGAGTTCCTTGGTTGTTTTATTACTCCTGGTTATCATTTTTCTCTTCTTTACAAGGTAATGTATCTTTAATTTGCAATTTAACATTCAATTTAATATCATATTTAAATAAACCTTTTAGAAAGAATATATAGTCAAGTTTTTATTAATAATAAAATTATGATGACAATTTTAAACTCATGTTGTCCTAATAATTAATTTTATGCATACTCTACACATATATGCAATTTCATTTCGAAACTTTTTTCGTATTAAAGTCATTTTATGTATTATTTATTACACAGTTAGTACCACAAAATTGGAAATATAGATAATGTAGTCGATTGAAAGATAAATAATTTGAGAAACCTTTCTTTATTCGGGTCATAGATTAACAATTAAAAATAAAATCTTTTTAAGGCACATCACTCATGAAATTTGTTATATCAAGGATTTTTAGAAGTGTCATGTATAATCATCTTCATTTAATTTTAAAAAATGCTCTCTTGGAATTATTTTTTACGTAATAAATGCAGGTGGAACAAAGAAAAGTCTAACAAAGATCAAGAAAATGACTTAGCATTAAATCTTCAGAGATCAGAATCGAGAAATGAGTCGGATCTAGAGGAGATTCCTCAAAACGAGGCTAATTACGTAGAAGAGGAAGTCGTTGTCGTCGAGTACAGTAATCTGACATCACAGAGGGTCTGTTTAGATCAATTTATAAGAGAAATGCCAGAAAAAAAGAACAGTGGTATACTAGAGAAAGAATTCGAGGTACGCTTTAATTTATGTCAGCCTATTTATCTATTCTTTATATAATACCTACTGACAGCATTTAATGTTTGTAAATACACATTTTCTATGAAACATATAGACATGTAATAGCAATCATTAATATTATAATTAGTGGCCGGGGTTGCTCAGAAACTAAATGTCACTTTTAGTTTATCCTTCAGACGAGTCCTTCAAGTATTTATGCAACTGTTTTTGTTTTCTTTCCCCATTTTATGAAAATAATTGTAGGTAGAGTAAATTACTTATCAACCATCGTGTCTTTTCAGAAAATAATATTTAAGCGTGAAATTAAATCCTGAATTTATTTAATGAATCATTTAACTGTAATCATAGGACCTTCCGAAGGGATTATTGGAATCTTACTCGGACGCACTTAAAGCTTCGAACAGGAAGGGGAACCGATACAAAGGAATCTATCCCTGTAAGTAAATGATTAAAGTCTCACAACTGTGATATTTAAAGTACATGTTTCAGATCCTTCAGTTGATGGGGGTCGAACATTTAATTTTGTTTAATGTGTATTTCTTCTTTTCAGATGACTACAATCGTGTAAAGCTCGATCACAGATCAGAAGCTAATGAGGATGGCGGTTTTGTTAATGCTTCATACATTCATGTAAGTATTTAACGATTTTTTTAAAAAGATAAATTGCAGGAATAACAAATGCGTTTATTCCGAAAATTTTCAAACACAATTTTAAATATTTGGCATTTAATTAGCGATCCTTAGCACTCAGGAAGTACTTATTTTAGTTGTTGCTGTATGATATATAAATGGTGTTTCAATACTAATGTTTTATTTTAGGGTTTCAACAGGGAACAAGCCTACATTGCTGTTCAAGGTTAATTTTAAGACAAATTTCTAAAAATAAACTATTCAAGTGCTTCAACTTTGAACATTTAATGAGTATTTGTCAATTTGTTGATATTTTAAAGTTTTTAATAGTTCCTCATGATAAATTGAGAACATGTAACATTAATTATGAATGATCACGTGAAATACTGTATGTGTACTTAAAATAGCGGGGTTCATATTTTAGTGGCTTTTGCGCAGACGAGGATGCGCTAAATCATGAAAACCGCTAAGCATTCATTTATAAATAGAAATATATGACACAAACATGTGTAGCGCTATTTCATGGATATGCAAATAACTCCATTTCCATTGATTGCGCTAAATCTTGAATACGCTACATTATGTACACGTACAGAAATTGAAATGAAAAAGAATTTAAAAATACTTTGCTTTAGATCACTTTATAAAGGTAATAAGAAATGATTTATCAATGAGCTTATCAATGAACAGGTCCTTTCAATCCTAAGACATTAGAGGATTTTTGGACGCTAATATGGCAGAATGACTCGACAAGAATCGTTATGTTGACAAACCTGTACGAAGGAGATAAGGTGAAGGTCATCAGTATTACTGAAAACAGTTTATGGATGATCAGTCAAAATAGATGATGCATATATTAGAAGCTTTTAAATATATTTTTGATTTTTACCTATAAATTATATATAATTATTGCTGTTTTTCAGGTCAATACGATGATTTAGACACCTGAGGAGTACAATATTGTACTTCGAAGGTGGCTAAATCATCATATTCACCGCAAGAAAACAACAATAACAGTTTTGATATTTATTATACGATTAAATGATAGCAAACTCCTACAAGACTCCATTTTGCCTTAATTGAAAGTTTTAACGAGAAAATTCAACAAAAACACATTGTACCAGGAAAGATGGAACAGGAATAATTCATCATATTGACCTGCAATAATTCCTCATATTGACCTGAAAGGTCAAGTGCAGGTCAATGTAACGCAGTATTCTTCTAACATTGTTGGATCCCGGCCAATCAGAGAGAGGGAAATTATGCAATCATATAATAACAGATAATATACACGTTATATTGTTTATTTATAACGCATGACGATACTTTTTGATACATGTATATATGAATTTCCTAGGATAAAGAATAAATTTTTCACTTTTCCAGATGAAATGTCTGAAATACTGGCCAGACAGTGAGCTGGATATTGGTCCATACACCATTACACTGGATAAAGTGGATGTGTTTAACAATTACGTACTACGTTATTTGATCGTCCAATATCAGGTTATATGTACAACTATTTAATATATTCTAATAATTAAATTCCAATATACTGTAAATCACTAAATTTTCGCGACACCTTTATTTCGCGAGATAGTCATTGTCTCTTGATTAGCGAGACAAAATTTTCACGAATCGTAGTAACTGCTCTATATAATCTTAAAGAATACTATTATACGCGATAATTTAATTTTCGCGAGCACACTGTCTCGCGTAATTACGCGAAAATAAAGTTCTCGCGAATAAAAAGTGATTTACAGTATTCGATAGTGATCGTGTTCATGTACCTCCACTTACGTATTTTGTAATTCTTTTCTCGTTTATCTTATAAATGAAAGGTAGTTCAAAAAAAAAAGAAATGAAAAGGATTTTTTTTAAATCATTGTAATTTTTACAACAAATAAAAATAGGACTTTCAACCATGCCTGGATTATTGTGAGAAAATTTGAATAAAAAGAGTCACTTTAATTTTCTGTGCTCCTCTTGCTTGCTATTAATACACACAATATGATTGAGCTGATAACGTTCTGGGCATTATAATAAATAGAAATACAGAAGTACCGTCCCAAAATGCTAAATTCAGCACGAATATCTCCTTCGGTATATGGCCCAAATTTCTCTATAATTTTCATCGCATTGTTACACATGTGATTACATTTCACTCAATTACAATTTAATTATCGCCCAGGAAGAGGAAAAAAGAGTGACACAGTTTCATTTCACCACGTGGCCTGACAACTCTGTCCCGGAAGATCTGACTTCACTCATTTGCTTCAGGAATTTAGTTAGGAATGGTATGACGTCATCAGACGGACCAATTGTTGTTCACTGCAGGTATTCAACAAAATTTTGAAAAAATTCAACAATAAAATGATTGATTGAATTCAACAAAATTTCTTGAAATATTTTAAAGAATAAGGACAAAACTTCTGTCTTAGAACTTTGAAACGAAAATAGAAAGACTTTTGTTGATAACAACTCCAGTTTATTTTAGTGCAGGGATAGGAAGGACAGGGACATTTATCGCCCTTGATTATCTTTTGGAAGAGGGCGCTGCTGAGCAGACGATTGACGTCAAAGGATACGTAGCTTCTCTTAGACATCAACGGGGGAAATCTATACAAACATGCGTAAGTTTTATCCTCTCTTGACATTCTATGTATTACAAAAAGTACGCCTCACTAACTGAAAATGTTTTGCCATACTTAATAATTCTTTATTTTTATTTGAACGAATACATATACTATTTTTCTAAGCTGGATTAATTAAATAAACCTCACTGTTTTAAATTATTTCTCCCTCTTCTTTTCTGTTTCTTACAAAAATTCATTAGATCTACTAGTATATGAAGTAACCATTGGTATTTCATTCCTTCTATATACGTTTATACTTTTCTATTTTTGTAAATACTTTTAGGAGCAGTACATCTTCCTGCATGACTCATTGAAAGAGGGATTCACAAATAACAGCGTTCACAGGAGCGGTTTGTCTGTACTTTAACCCACCGATTACAGTTTTTTTTTGTCTCTTTCACATTACGTGTATATCTAGTAGGAATTTGAAGATTTTAAATTTTCAAATGCCATCCATGGCTGCATCGTCAATTTACTTATTTGGTCCTTGATCATTTGTAAAATGATTTTATAAATACTCTTGCCTTTATCAGGCTTTATTGCACACACAATTATCTCACTTTTGATATAGAGATGCTTGAGTTTTTCTGACAATATATATTGTTAGGTAAAATTGAAACTAGATGGAAAACCAATGGGTACCAATTGCGCTTTGTAATATAGTTTTGCCTGTTTTTATATTTATAAGTAAAATTTGTGCAAAATTCATGCGTTATAGAAACTTGCTAGTCCTTTTATACTCCCACTTTTAGGAGCAGTACATCTTCCTGCATGACTCACTGATAGAAGGATTCACAAATAATAGTGTTGGCAGGAGCGTTTTGTCGGTACTTTAAACACATCTGTTTCATAACTGTGTATTTTTACTCACCTGAAAAAGACTTAATGGTAATCTAACAAATTTTTACTTTTCTATCGTCCGCTTCCGTCTTCTGTACATTTACACATTTTCACTTCTTCATGCAAGAATATATATTGGTACAAAGCAACCTTTGGTGAAGAGAAATTTAAATTGTAAAAATAAGGGCGTCCCCTCAAAAGGGGAGGAAATGCTCTACGTATGAACAATCTCAAAAACGAGGTAAATTAAAAAATCTTCTTCTCAAGAACCACTGACTGAAACTTATGTGGAAGCAAGTTAATGAAACAAAAATATCATGACCCCCTGGGGTTAAAGTCACAATATCAAAGTTTTACATAGAAATATATCCACTGTGCCAGAAAACAAATCTTATGTCTAATGCTTCTCATACTAATTGTTAGTCTATTACATGTATTTATACACTGAATTGTCACAATATGTTTACAAGGGGGAATTTCCTGATCATGACAAAAACAGAAAGGTGCGATTCGCAGGTGAGCGATGTGGCCCATGGGCCTTTTGTTTTTATAAACGTTAGTCTGTAGTAGAATTTATAGCAGATCCACTTGGAAGTTTTCATAAAACTGCTTCATCCAAGGTGATGCAGTTCATTTATAACTCTTTTTTATTCATTTCTTTGTAATTTGAAGATCATTGTTCTGGGCAATGTTGAAGGTACAGTCAACTTAAGGACTTATTGTATTCATTCTGAAATGTATATGATGTTTAATATTTTCATGATTCTCAATGTATTTATTATTCATATACATAAAAAAAGAGAGAGAGAGAGAGAGAGAGAGAGAGAGAGAGAGAGAGAGAGAGAGAGAGAGAGAGAGAGAGAGAGAGAGATTTCCATGAATGTATTATAAATGTGCTTTTCAATTTGATTTAACTAAATTGCTTTTTACTTTGATTATATCTTTTCCTATACATGTATATTAATGTATAGTTAAGTTCTATTAAAAAGACTGTGACGGTGGATTACACACCTTTTAGTATGTAAAAATGAGAAATGTTGCAATAGTGAGTAAATGTACATGTAAATGTCTGTGTTCATAGTTTTCACTTATAAAATTATTATTTTTTATTATTTTCAAGAAATGATAACGAAGTAATAAAAACTAACGATGATATTGCATATAGTTTTTATGTCCAATTTAAAAGGTGATATTTTAAAAATTGTACTTTTTTAGAAATTGAAATAAAGGATATAGATTTTTTAGAAAGTTAACTAATTAAAAAGAATTTTGTAAACATTTTGTCTTCACCTTTGTTTCAAAGTTTTCTGGTTGTTAGTATAAATATGTCAAATTTTTTAGAATCTGTAATTTATGCAATGATTACTTTTTTGTTTTTCTAGTTTTTTTTTCTGTCATGTCTATAAATTCTTTTCGTTTGTGTGGGATATCAACAACCGTAATTAAATGGACCGTGTAATAGAAACATAAGTGTAAAGTTAGTGCAACTTAACAAATAATCATTCTCTCTCTTAATATATTGTTCTTTCACCATGGTGGACTTTATGGGAAATACAAATAATGTGTGTCAATTTGACTTAAAATAAAAGTTAGTGATTCTAGTGAACTATTTCATTTACAACATATTTTTATTTATAATATTAAGTTTTTATATACAAAAAGACACATATTTATGTCGTTATGAAATAATTTTAAACTCTAATTCGTCTAAGATTTATTTCATATTTTTGTCTACAGGTATGAGAAATATCCATTTTTAAATTTCTTTTTACATTCAGCAATTGTCTAAACTAAAATTTGTTAAAAAAGAAATTACCTTTCTGCTTGAAAGATGTTTTTTTTCGGAGTCACGAAATCAATTGAATCAGTTTTATTATTGGCCATTCTCAAGTGAAGATCAAATATACAATTATAAAAATCATAAACATACAAATGACCTCTCATAGAAGCCTAACATTAACCTTATTTCCCGGTTTGATGCACCGTATTCGGTTCCTGATACATGTACGCCGGAGGAGGGGGGCCATGACCTACAAATAACGACAAAAAGGCTGCACATCGTAAAAATGTATGTTAATACATGAAATTGCATTTTATTCAAATAGGCTAAAATATCATAAAATAAATACGAAAATTTACTTGAATGTTGACCATGAGCATGAAGAGGGGGAAGTGCGTTCGGACGATGTTGTAACACCCCGTTATTCTGATGTGCTCTATCTTCATGTTGCTTAAACTTAAGGTGTACAGAGACACACACTGTTATTCCGATCACTATAGCAACGGCTAAGACCCCGCCCACAACTCCACCTACAATGCTGGCTCCTTCACTGTTAAATTATTTCAAAAAATTTCAATTAAGTACCTCTGAAATTTACATAGAATTATGTCCTGGGACAAATCCATGAGGAATATTTTTTGTCAGAACCATTCATTGCTATTAAACACATTATCGATAAAAGATGGAAATAAGTTTAATTTGACTTTAAGGTTTGATGTACATTTAGAAGCTTCATCTCCTTGTCTTAAAAGGTGTTCATAGATCAGTAGAGCATGTTATTACTTTTAAAATATGCGTATGTAGACAAGACCTTGGAATGTTTGATCGCAACCTACATGTATGACAATGATTTTATTTGCTTTATACCCACCTGCACTTAGATTCACAGTAATATGCCCCAATATTCATATCGTAATAGCAATAT